AAAAAAAATTTTGTTCATAGGAATTTTATACTTTTCCTCATACAGATCTTATGCATATTTTGTTAGATTTATACATAAGTATTCTTTTTTTGGTGTTAATGTAAATGATATTATTTATTTAATTTCAAGTTTTACTTGTTGAAGAAAGCAGCAGTTACCTTTTGAATCCTACCTTATATACTTACATCTTTCAGTAGTCACTTATTTTAGCTGTTTTTTGGTTGATTCTTTTGGATTTTCTACATACATGATCATGTCACTTGTGACCAAAACAGCTCTATGTTTTCCTTCCCAATCTGTGTATCTTTTCTTTCCTTTCCTTTCCTTTCCTTACTGTGTTAGCACAGACTTCCAGTATCATGTTGAAAAGGAGTAGTGAGAAGGGACATTCTTGCTTTGTACCTGATTTTGGTGGAAATACTTAGCTTCTCACCATTTGTAGGTTTTTTTTATCTGGTCTTAATCAGTTGAGAAAGTTCCCTTCTGTTCCTAGTTTACAGAAAGTTTTTTTATCATGAATGGGTGTAGGAATTGGTGTTTGTCAAATACTTTTTCTGTATCTATTGATATGATCATGTTTTTTTTTTTTTTCTTGTATCATTCACTGGTTTCTTCCTCAGGTGGCACTTACCTTTTAACCTGAGCCACTCATGTTATATTCTATCTTGTGGTACAGCCTGACCATCTAGTGAGAGTAAAACAATATATATATTCAGGTTAGTGCCATACAAATTATATATACTTACATGTCAGTTACACAGATACTGCTTATTGGTTGACAGCTTATTATAGTATTCCGAGTATACCTTTATTTTAGAGTTTTGTTTTTTCTTTTCTATTTCCATCACTGTATTACAACCCCTTGTGCACAAAAGTAGTGTTATTTTCTTTGTTTCCCTCACAGAGTGAATGATAATGGTTTGGATAGGTTGAGTTTGAGCTGACTTTATTTTACTAAAAAAAAAAAAGAACTCTCTGTCTCTTTCTCTCTCTCTCTCTCTCTCTCTCTCTCTCTCCCTATATATATATATATATACACACACACTTGTGGGATATCAAGAAGCCTAATAGGAACTCAGGAGGGATGTTTGGGTCAGAGGTAGACACTAGGTATTATTATAGGTTATTGTAAAAGTTTTGAGTAAGAATAAGATTAAAGAAGAAAATGGGGAATGTGAAGAGGACCATGGTCAATTTTTACTAGTTACATGATTTTAACCCAGTTAGTTGACTCCCCCATGCTTAGTGTCCTCATCTGTTTAGTAAGGAAGATAATACCTAATCACAAGATCCCTAATACATGTTATTTTCTAACTTCCTTCATATATTTACACCTGTTTTCTAAAAAATATATACAGCGTTGTTCAATAAAGGATTTAAATTTGGCTTAGAGTTTCCTGGCAAGAGAACAAAAAGGGAATTGAGTATATTCCATGGTCCTTACTATTTGTAAGGAGAATACAAACCCACTGTTTGTGGGGCTTATGTTGTCTTGGCACAATTACACTATGTTATTAACTCCTTTCCCTCTGTGTGTAAATATTTGTTTATATAACTATTTTCTGGCTGAAAATAGACTTATACTATTTGAATTTGTACCTTATTTGCTTGTTATTTGTAAATTTCTATGGTAAATGTAAGCACCAAGAGAAGGTTGGTTAGTTATTAATTTTGAGTGCTAGGACAGTGAAAAAAATGGGTAAACATAATTTTTTTTCAATTTTGAGACTGGAAATGTTTATCCCTTAAGTTTGTCTCTTTATAATGTTTTAACACCTGCTGTTCCAGACCATCATTCCATTTTTATGGGTGGATTCTTTGTTTGACTTCCCAAAGCATGGTGTTGCAGTAGTTAATAAATCCCTTTCCTCAGTCTTTGGAGTAGATTCTGAATTCCCTTTTAAGTATAAAGTGATTCATACCAATGTAACCTGAAAGTATGGAAGACTTGATTGTGAAACTTAACAACAAACTACATTAATTTAATTAGCTAATGATCATTTTGGTCATCTGCCTCTAAAATTCTGTCATTCACTTAGGGCAAAATTTTATCAAGTGGTTTCACTGAATTAAGATTCCTAAAGTTTTAATATCCAAAGACAGGGCCTTACAATTAGTATTTACTAGTACAGAAAAGTTAGGCAACATATTTTGGGATAAAAAGTTTCCTTAGTAATATGTAGCTCCTATCTGATAGAGTTCAGTATACATGGGTTTAAGAAATAATTTATTATAGTGGTGAAATTTTTCTTTAACAGAAGCTACTACTCTTTAAAAATCTTTGAAGACCATAAGCTTCTGTTTTGAGTAGTTTCCAGAAACCAAGGAGCTAATGAAGAATGGAAAATGCTGATAAAACTAGGTTACTTCAGAGAAAGTTTTAAATACAGAGTTTGTAATTATTTATCTTCTTGTAAGCCAATTAATCTATTTTAATAATTATTGAAAATCTGCATGGAATATTTTCTTAAAAAATAAAGCAAACAAGTTGATTAAAAATCTTGACAAAGGAATACAAGCACTTAAATATTCTTGTTACAAGAAAATAAAATCTAAAAACAAGCTGTTAAGAGAGAAAAGAAGGTGTGCACCATTCTAGTTTTTAAAAACAAAAGAAAACATAAAATATCTTTGGGAATGGGTTAATGACTGAGGATTTAGGCTTTTCCAGATAATTTTCCTATGTTCTACAGAATATAAAGTTTTGTTTGAAAAATTCCTAGCCCTCTTGGAGGCAAAAGATTGCCCACATACTATGCAGTTTTGGTGACTCTGTTGCCAGATGAAGTGAACCTAGCGATTATCAAGTTTTTCTTTTTATATGACTAGTTTTTGTGTATATAATTTGTAAATGTACATATTTTATAAATATGTTGGAAAAGATCTGTCCATATAAACGTTAAAATTAAAGCAGTGTGGTTACCTGTGGGAAGTAACCTATAGAGCCAGAATGAAGTAAAACTTTCATTTTTTTCTCTATATACTTCTCTATTTGAACTTTAAAAAGAGTTATTTGTTCTTTTAGCAATTGAAATCAGAAAAAGAAAGTTGTAGAGGAAAACAAATTACTTTAAAAATTCTTTAATACTCTTCACATCTGTATAATTGAGGGCAGATTTTTAAAAACCTATATGTTGTGGAAACAATGTATTTAATATACAATATGGCTTTTAGAAATATTAAAGCATTCTATATTACCTTGTTGACTGAATTGCTGACTGAGTCTACTCTCTTAAGACCTTGAAATACAGAACATTATTTGTGACTTGATAGTTTTGGGTATTTTAAATGGCTCCTTACCTATAAATATCTTTAGTCAGTGTAGTCATAAAGTGTGCTCATTTTTAACTTCTGTAGTTGGTTTTAATTTCCTCTAACAATTAGGGGAAATACACCACCCCTAATCTTCTCAATCCCAAAGTGAATTTTCTGTGATTTTGTTGATCTTGACAATGATAACTGATCTCTGTTCTCTCTTTTAGGGGACTTTTCCCCTCCATTTCTTGATCACACTATTAAGGTAGAAAAATGCAAAGGTCAATATTAATATTTTACTAATAACCAACTTTAAAAATTATTATTTCCCTGTATCATTCTTCTCATTTGGTTTATTCAATAAGTCAACTACATACTTGGAAGAAATAAACTTTAACATTATTCATTAGAATTTCTCTTTTCTCCTCTGTCTTATGTTCGTTTTTTAGTTTATTGAATATTTATTAACTGTCAGGCACTGGGGGGATAGACAACAAAATAGGCCAAATTCCTGCCCTAATGAAGCATCCATCCCAGTTAAGATGCCAGAAGATAAACATATAAATAAATAATTTCAGGTAACACTAAGGAAGGAGTGATTGGAGCTGGTGTGGCCCTGATATATTTAAGGAGTTGGGCAGGATTACAACTGAAGTACTACGTACTGAAATGCTCAAGTATTTAAAAGTTAGGAATCAAGCTACATCTTTGACACAGTCTGAATTCCTATGCTGCCCGTTATTTTTCTCAGACTGTATCCTCAATACCCAGAGGCTACAGCTGTTTGTTTTCTTCTCTCAGCCAGCCTTTCTACTTCCTAGTCTGATTTGTAGCATAGATGTGTTGGGCAGGCCAGAGATGAATGGGTGGTGCTTTGACCCATCTAAAACAGTATTCAAACTGATCCTGTCAAGTCCCCAGGAATTGGTACAGAGATATTAATCTGTCCAGCTTCTAACTCCCAACTCAAGACTTCCAGGAAGTTTTAAGCTGTTCCCAGAATTGCACTATCTAAGAAGAGAAGAGAGAGGGCATGCAGGTATCTGGGAAACCTGGCTTTCCTAGGCAATCACTTGGGTGGATTGGGCGTAGCCAACTTTAACCGATTAGAGCTTTTATAAGTAGCCACTCTTTCTAGGGCTTCTCAGGACAGAAGCTATGGTGATTCTCTCCTTTCTCCACACTCTTGGTTTCTTATCCTTGGGCCTGGGGACCTCATTCAGTTAGCATCTCTCTCATAATCCCCATGTACTCAACTGCTTACTGAACTTTCAAAAGAGCTTCCTTAGGAGGCTGAAAGGGAAAAAGTTTTTGTATTAGTAATTGTGGTATGAAAGACTTTCTGAATTGTAGGCTCCTGGCAGAGGCTTTTCTTGCCCAGGTTTAAGGATGATGTCGGACTGAGGGTGGAGGTGACCATAGACCACTCTTTTTTTTACATACCTCTTTGACTTCTTGTCCTGCTACTTCTGAATCCTCCTAGTCCCCAACTCAATTTGTTTTAACTTGTAAAGCTAAATTGATATCCCTTGGGATACCTATGTCTGAAAAGTAAGCTCTAAATGAAAATAAACATTTTCCAAAAGTTTTTCTCTAAGATTTTAAGTAGCGTTGACTCATTTTCCTATCGTCCCAGTCACCCTTCCCAAAAAACACCTCACCCAAACAAAAAAAGAGGCAAACTATATATACAGACTTGTTGCAGATTGAATACTAGCTTAAATGTATTCATTTTCTCCTTACAGTTGTGAAAGTTGTGTGGATTTACTCTTTGTGAGAGGAGCCGGAAACTGTCCTGAGTGTGGCACTCCACTTAGAAAGAGCAACTTCAGAGTACAACTTTTTGAAGATCCTACTGTTGACAAGGAGGTTGAGATTAGGAAAAAAGTGCTTAAGATGTAAGTATTATTGCTTGAATGATTCAGTCCACAAAGGGGACTTTAACACTTAATTTCAATAATTGATACTATTATTTGGTGATAGAAAAGTGGACAGTTTGGCCAAGTAAGTTCATCTATACATTTGTTCAACAGAAATTTATTAAGTTCTTAGAGAACTCGGTAATTTATCTAACCTTAGTTAGGGAAAAGTAGATCATTTTGATTGATGGCTTCACAATTTGCTTATTTGCTATTTATTCTTTAATTAACAGATACATATTGAGTACCTGCTGTGTGTAAGCACTACATTATGCATATTAGGCACCAGGTAGGAAATGAGTGAAACAGCTGTAAACTTGGCCTGCATAAGGCTTACAGTATTAAGCATTGGATAGTATAGAGATAGACAATGAAACAGCCAAACAAAACAACCATGTTACTATAAATTGAGACAGATGCTATGAATTTAGTGACTTAGTGTTGGTGTGGGTCAGTGATGTCAAGTAAGGCCTGAGGAGGTAACATTTAAGTTGAAATTTGAAAGTTATTAGAGAAAATCGTGTGTTATCTACAACTTTGATTTATGTGTCTGTGTGTATATGTGTATTGAATATTGTCTTTTATAATTTCATTTTTATCCTTTGTTAATAGTTTTGGGTTTCATTTTACCTGTGCTTTTATTGAAAGGTACCTTATTATTTTTGAAGTTTAAAGAATTAATATATGATTTTAATTTATTATTATTATTATTATTATTTTGGGTGGTATACATTTCAGCATAAGTTACCAGTGTTTTAGCAGCATATTTCTAGGAATTTAACCAGTGTTACTTTATTAGTGCCTCAAGCTGTTGTTTTCTTATTTGTTTTGCTTCTGTGTGATAGTCTTTCTTAGATTCTTATCTTTTATTGTTAACCCCTTATAGTTTTCTGATTCTTAACAGATACACTACAATATTTACAGATTTTCTTGATCTAACATTTTTTAGACTATAACTGTCATGAAAAATAGGAAGGTTTCTTTGGAATTAGTTTTTAGCTTTCTGGAAATTAGTGACTGTCTATTTATGAGTAAACAATATTGTAATTTCCCTTGGTAGGCCTTGTTTAAGCCCATTCCCTATTCCTTTAGTCTCCTAGATTTTTTTCTTAGCCTTAAGTCTTAAAGGATTATTCTGTACCATTCTCTCCTGATGCAGTTCTTATCTGTAGTCATAAGAATTTAAGAACAACATTCTTGGTCATTTACAAACCTGGCGTCAAGAAAACAGTGTTTTACATAGTAAGCAGTCCTTTTTTTATGTATCATGTATGAATTAGGTAAGAAAAACAAACCAGTGAGATAATATTCAAAGCAAGCAATATGTAATACGCTGATATTTTTTCTTCTCTTAAAGATACAATAAAAGAGAAGAAGACTTTCCTAGTTTGAGAGAATATAATGATTTCCTGGAAGAAGTGGAAGAAATTGGTATGTTTTTAATGTTTATAATTTGATGTGCTAGCCTGTGTGCTACCTAGAACATCTGAACATAAAAATCTCTTGCAAGTTTTGTTGTGATAACCGATGTTTACCTGATTACTTTCTGTTGCACTTGAACTGTGTTTGTTAAATTGAAAGCATACTTAAAGGAACATACTTAAGTAATAAACACTTTGTCTTAGAAAGTTAGTACCGCTTTATAGCTGAGAAGAAAGGCTGTTTCTGTATATGTCATCTGTATGTTGATGATGCATTACAGTAAATAGCAGCAGATTTTAAAAAGCAGGATTTCCATTAGCTGTGTCCATGACAACTAAAGCCATATGTTGTTTATCATAATTTACACTTCTGTGCATACAGTATTTGGAAAATACTTTGAAGTAGTTGACTGTTGAAGTAGCTTTCTATTACTCAGTTGTTATTTTAGAATCAGTGGTTAGAGGAATCTTAGTGCCTTTTCTTTCTATTGTTGTTAGTCACAAAGATGTTTTATATCAAAGACATTATTTCTGTTTTCTTTTTCTTTTTTTTTTTTAATTTTGGTATCATTAATGTACAATTACATGAGCAACATTATGGTCTCCCCCCCATTATCAAGTTCCCCCCCACATACCCCATTTTAGTCACTGTCCATCAGCGTAGTAAGATGCTATAGAATCACTACTTGTCTTCTCTGTATACACTGCCTTTCCCATGTCCCCCCCCTACATTATGTGTGCGAATCATAATGCCCCATTTTCCCCCTTATCTCTCCCTTCCCACCCACCCTCCCCATTCCCTTTCCCTTTGGTAACTGTTAGTCCATTCTTGGGTTCTGTGAGTCTGCTACTGTTTTGTTACTTCAGTTTTTGCTTTGTTGTTATACTCCACAGATAAGTGAAATCATTTGATACTTGTCTTTCTCTGCCTGGCTTATTTCACTGAGCATAATGCCCTCTAGCTCCATCCATGTTGTTGCAATGGTAGGATTTGTTTTCTTCTTATGGCTGAATAATATTCCATTGTGTATATGTAGCACATCTTCTTTATCCATTCATCTACTGATGGACTCTTAGATTGCTTCCATTTCTTGGCTATTGTAAATAGTGCTGCAATAAACATAGGGGTGCATATGTCTTTTTCAAACTGGGTTACTGCATTCTTAGGGTAAATTCCTAGGAGTGGAATTTCTGGGTCAAATGGTATTTCTATTTCCTCCTTTAATTCTGTTAGTATTTGTTTCACATATGTTGGTGCTCCTGTGTTGGGTGCATAGGTATTTATAATGGTTATATTCTCTTGTCGGACTGACCCTTTATCATTATGTAATGTCCTTCTTTAAGTCTTCTTACTTTCTTTGTTTTGAAGTCTATTTTATCTGACTTTTTTTCTCTCTATTGTTTGCATGAAATATTTTTTTCCGTCCCTTCACTTTTAGTGTGTTTATGTCTTTGGGTTTGAGGTGAGTCTCTTTTAAGCATCATATAGATGGGTCTTGCTTTTTTATCCATTGTGTTACTCTGTGTCTTTTGATTGGTGCATTCAGTCCATTTACATTTAGCATGATTATCTATATGTATGTACTTATTGCCATTGCAGGCTTTGGATTCGTGTTTACCAAATGTTCAAGGGTAGCTTCTTTGCTATCTAACCATGTAACTTTAACTCTCTTATTATGCTATTATAAATACAGCCTGATGATTCTTTATTTCTCTCCCTTCTTATTCTTCCTCCTCCACTCTTTATATGTTAGGTATTTTATTCTGTACTCTTTTGTGTTTCCCTTGACTGCTTTTGTGGATAGTTGATTTTATTTTTTGCCTTTAGTTAGTTTGTTTGGTCTGCTTTCTTTGCTGTGATTTTTTTCCTCTGGTGACATCTGTTTAGCCTTAGGAGTACTTCCATCTAGAGCAGTCCCTTTAATATACCCTGAAGAGGTGGTTTGTGGGAGGCAAATTCCCTCAACTTTTGCTTATCTGGAAATTTTTAATCCCTCCTTCAAATTTAAATTATAATCTTGCTGGATACAGCATTCTTGGTTCAAGGACCTTCTGTTTCATTGTATTGAATATATCATCCCATTCTCTTCTGGCCTGTAATATTTCTGTATAGAAGTTTGATGATAGCCTGATGGGTTTTCCTTTGTAGGTGATCTTTTTTTCTGTCTGTGACTGCTTTTACTACCCTGTCCTTGTCTTTTATGTTTGCCATTTTAATCATTATATGTCTTGGTGTTGTCCTCCTAGAGTCCCTTGTGTTTGGAGATCTGTGGGCTTCCATGGTCTGAGGGACTATTTCCTGCCCCAGCTTGGGGAAGTTTTCAGCAATTATTTCTTCAAAGACAGTTTCTGTCACTTTTTCTCTCTCTTCTTCTTCTGGTACCCCTATTATGTGAATATTGTTTTGTTTGAATTGGTCACACAGTTCTCTTAATATTCTTTCATTCCTGGAGATCCTTTTATCTCTCTCTGCCTCAGCTTCTCTGTATTCCTGTTCTCTGATTTCTATTCCATTAACAGTCTCTTGCGCTTCATCCAGTCTGCTCTTAAGTCCTTCTATTGATTGTTTCATTTCTGTTATCTCCCTCGGGACTTCATCCCTTAGCTCTTGCATGTTTCTGTAGAGCTCCATCAGCATGGTTATGACTTTTATTTTGAATTCTTTTTCAGGAAGATTGGTTATATCTATCTCACCATGCCCTCTCTCTGGCGTTGTTTGAGTTATTTTGGACTGTACCAGGCTCTTATGCCTTTTCTTGGTGATAGAAGTGATTGCCGGCAGGTGGTGCATTTGTCAGGTGGGAGAACAAAGTCCCTTCCTGCTTGCTGATTGCCTTGCCCTTCTCCTCTGCCTGTACCGGTTACCTGCACACATGGAGCAATCTCTGGGTTAAATTCCTGAGCTGCCATGGGCGGGACACCCCTCGGGATGGTGTAGGGCACTGCCAGTGGTTGCAGGCATGTGGCGTTTGTTCTCCTGTGGGAACGGTGTCCCTTTGTGCCCTCCGGACTTTGCGCCACCTTCCTCTGTCTGTGCTGGGTAGCTGCATGCTGGCGGCAGCCTCCGGGTCTGGCCCGATTGGTTACGCCCTGTGAGAAGTCTCTGTGTGGTTGCTTTGGGCAGGGCTGTTCCCCAGCTGCTCCACAGCAGGGTCGTGTCAGCTGGTTTGCTTGCAGTGCCAACCAGAGGAAATGAACCGCATGCTGTTTATAGCTGTGAGGGGCTTTGGAGCTGCGTTGACACCCAGGGGGTTAGGGTGCCTTAAGTTCCTTAATGTTCCCAGCATGCTGGGCTGAGTGTGCGGGTGCTCCTGGTGCAGATTACTAGGGCTGTTTATTTAGCAGTCCTGTGCTTCCACACCCTCCCCACTCTGATTCTTTTGCTCCTGCCAGTGAGCTGGTATTGGGGGAGTGCTTGGGTCCCGCTGGGTCATAGGTTTGTATCTTATCCTTTTTGTGAGATGCTGATTTCTCACTGATGTAGATTTACCTGGCTGTTGTATTGTATCTTCTGGTCTCTCTTTTAGGAATAGTTGTATTTGCTGTACTTTCATAATATATATGGTTTTGGGAGGAGATTTCTGCCACCCTACTCATGCTGCCATCTTGAGAGTTCTCTGCCTATTTCCCTTTTCTTATATAACATTTCACAGGTGTTACCAAGTCTGCAAGTTTTTATACATCAATTAAATTAATGGTGTTTTTTAAGATGCTGTAATTATATTACTCAATATAGGTTTGGAAATGATATAAAAATTGTAGACTGAAAATTAGAATGGGACTAAAAATTAAAGTCATCTTTTTTATTCTTCTCTCAGACCTGATAGTCAAGCTATACTCATATTATTTCTTATTTAAAATATGATCATAATAAAACCAATCTTTTGAAGGATTATATATGGAAAATTTTTAGAAAATTCAAATTCCTGAGGAATGGAGTATTTAATTCTTATAATTTATTAACTGAGAAAACCCAGAAAATAATTTTATTTCAACTGTTATTGAAACTTCTCTCAAATAACTAAGTTCATTTGATTGTCATAGGAAATAGCATGTGTAGATATCTTAGGCTTTTTCTGGGATCTTTTAGTGCCTTGGAGCCATTGCTTTTTCATTCTAATTGTATTCATTGTACTTTATATATAATCTTAGCAGCTATGAGTGGCTATGGATTTTAGCTGAAAAGATGGTAGAATTGATAGTGCCAAGGCAAAGTAGAAGAGTTAGGATTTAGTCTGAGAAGATTAACCAAAAAGAAATCTGGAAGAACTGGGCAAGTGTGCAGGCATGTAGAAATCTGGCTATACATACATATGCGGCATAGGACAAGGAGTTGGCTAGCAAGCAGGAAGAAACCCAGCTTACATTTATCTAAAGGCAAAGTGATTAGACAAAATCTGGTCAGGCAATAAAGAGCAAGGAAATTATAGATGTTACAGAGCAAGTTGAATACATGGTCACAAGTCCAAGCAGGCAGGCAGGATAACTAAAAGAAATGGTTGGATAAAGAAGCTAGGAAAGAGGGAATCTTGATTCTGGAGTAAGATGTGGGTTGAGTCATGATTTTTAAAAATATCTAATTTTTGCAATGAAGTGAATTAGTATGAAGAGATGAATAACCTCGGCCCATAGGTTAAACCATGTTTATGTCCAGAGTGGGAGGTGGGATCGACAGGTAAGAGCAAGTCCAGATATTAGTGCTATGCAATGTATGAGCCTTTTTTTTTTTACCAGATGAGGTAAAAAATTATGAAGAACTATCTTCAGTTGCAGTATGTTTAACTTCTGATAACCAGCTGCCACTTAATCGACCCAGTGAAATAACTGTCATTTCCCCATCCTCCCATAAAATGTACTCACTGATGCCTAGAGCACAATGAATGCATGATGAATCTTCTCTATTAGATATCCTCAAATACTCTTCTGTACTTCTCTCACCAGTTCAGTTATATACCAAGAGTTGGTTGCATTGGTAACCAAACCTTCTGCTGCCATTTTTACTTGTTATTT